TGTTGATTTTTAATATTTTTTTGCATTTTCTTTATACAAATTGGATGTACAAAAATTTCAGTATGGATGAAAAAGTGCAAAACCTTCAACGAAAAAAGTTCTCAAAAATCTACGCGAATTAAATGTAATCTGGCATCGCTGCAGCAAGTACTTTGTCTCGCCAGTGAAACCGTGTTGATATTTTAAGTACAATTGTACTGTTTTCATTACAATTAATTTTAAAATGTACAAAAGTACAATTTGCCGATTTTAAGTACAATATCATAATCAAAAATACTTTTTGTACCAAATATCTTCTAGCACTTTGATTCTTAATCCGTTTACATTTAAGTAAATAGATACACCTGTATTTCATATTTGCTACAAAACGAAATTATGAATTGTAATTTTGAATGTAAACGTTATTGTGAACAGTAATATTAGTGATGTGCGTTGTGGTGATTACGATTTCTTATCACCGGCGGGTGAAATATCCCTCATCGCTATTTATTTTGAAAAAATCTTTGGAAATGCAATTTACCTGATGCCGATCCTGCAGAAATAGAAGTAATTGAGCTATTCGGGGTTTGATAGTAAAAAAATGTATGTAAATTCCATGCGTTGAAATTAAAAATTTCCCTTGAGGATGTCCATTTTATCGATAGTGATCTAATTGATGTTCATTAATATGAACTGACCTATATAGTGTATTAATGTTTTATCATCATTGTCTTCATCTTTTACAAAATTACACGGTCACCCGGTTTTTTTTTATTTTTTAAATAATTTTATTTTTTTTTTATAAAATTGTAGCTCATTGTCAAACAAAAATAAATCCAAACTGGAAAGATTGAAAAAAATCAACAAAGTTTCATCAAATTTTCACAGTTTTTGTTCAGAATTTGTAGACATGTTTTGGGTTAACATTTTTGTAGCCCATTCATTCTAGTATAATAAGGTGCAAGTTTGAAGTGTCTAAAAAATACCATTGATTTTTTGAATTTTTCTGTTTGCGGTGTTGCGCACTAGGAAATCTAATTAAAAAGCTCAAAATTTTTACGAAAGTGTGTTAATTTTTTTAATGTTGTAAAAAGATATGGCTTTTTT